GCTCACGACTGGCTTGTGCAGTGAGAGGAACAATGACAACAGTCAAGAAAGTCTTTCCCATATTCCCATTAAGACATAAACAACAAAATTAGGTACAGTTGTTTTACAAAAATACATACAAATATACAAAAAGACATTTTAAAGTTCTTAAAACGTATAAAATATTTCATGACAGCTTAGTGAGTCAAACAAATCATCGTGTAATGTTATGGATATATGAAAATATATGTAGATCTTTTTCAATTTATCAATACATCACAGCTGCTCTGATATCCAGACAAACTCAGTTCTAATCATTTTGTTCTACTTGTCCATTCTTTTCTTTTTTCCCCCTGAAATAATCTGTGCACTAAAATGGCCTTTTAACATTTCTTTAACATTTCTTTTTTATCATGGGATTGTGAGTTACGACTACTGTAAAGCACAGGATCTATGCAGGATCCCATTTTCCGGTGACCTTTTGACTCAGGAAATGTTCAAACAGTGTGAAAGGTGCAGGCCAGAAGTATAAAGGATGTGTAATCCTCCATGTCACATGGCCAGAGCAGAACAGGAGGCCAGATTGGCAGGTCACATTTCCGATCGCTCCTGTGAACAGATGGTCATGTTTTCAGCACAACTTCACTCTCAGTAGAGCCACCTGCCTTCGCTCCATCACAAGCAGGGCTCAACAACAAGGATTTTTTTTTTCAGTGAATGCGTCCTACACTTATTTTTACTTGCTCCATCACAAAAAGAGATACATTTTTCTCTTAGCACCATGTTTGTGCCAGAAAATGTTATGTAATTTTTTAATAAATCATAATTTACTGTTATAGCTGGAAATTCTATAGCTAAACTGTTAAAGATGCTGTGTTTATGGTGAACTGCAGTGGAAACGCAAACCGTGCCGAGCCGAACCGTGCTGTGCCGTACTGAGCCGTGCCGAGCCGAGTCGTACCCCGCAGTGGAAAAGCGCCATTATTGAGCTGTGACTTTCAGCATTTACTTGGGTGGCTTGCAGCCATGTGTGAAGCTTCAAGAATGAGGGTCAGCTCCTGAGGCCATGGTTCTCAGCCAGAAAAAGTGTGGATTGCCTGCTTCAGGAAGGGAGTGAGATGCTTCCCCAGGCAGAGGAGTTCATGTTTCCTCCGCACAGTGTCTAGGCTGACACTGAGAGACAGGGTGCAATGCTTAGATATCCGGGAGAGACTCGGAGTAGAGCCACTGCTCCTCTACATTGAAAGGAGCCAGTTGAGTTGAGGTGGCCCAGGCATTTGGTCAGGATGCCTCCCGGACACCTTCCAGTGGAGGTATTCCAGCCCAGGCACGACCAACTGGGAAGAGACCCTGGGGCAGACCCAGGATATGCTGGAGGGATCATATCTTTCAACTGGCTTGGGGACACCTTGGCATCCCACAGGATAACCTGGAGGAAGTGGCCAGGAAAAAGGACATATGGGTGTCCTTACTTGGCCTACTGCCAATGATTGGATGGATGTTCTCATGGGGATCCAGGTTCCAGTCCCATCTCCTTTACCCTCTCCCACACCTACCTTCTGGTCTACCGTCCGTCCGTTGAACCTGAGGGTCGGCTTGAGCCCCAAGTTCAAGCCCCCCACCCCCCATTGAAGTACTACATAGAGAGAGAATAACACAAATAGAGGAGGAGATGGGGAGGTAGCGGGATGCTGCTTATATAGGCTTATAATGCTGAGTGACAGGCCTGAATGATTAGGCTCCTCCCAAACCTATTGGGGAACTTCAGTTTGAATGCGTCTCCTCTGACCACTTGTGTTCAAATTTCGTCACACCCTACATCAGTTTCGTGGTAGCGCTAAGTACAACGCACAAATACTATTGAATGAACCAAACCGGGTAACACAGCTTATGAGCGAGCAACTGAAGAAGGGAGGACAGCTGTGATTTTTGGTGCTAATATCATTTAAATTGAAATTAGCTGACTATTACTGTATCTGTAAAGGCTGATTTATACTTCTGCGTCGGACCTACGCTGTAGCCTACGCATAGACGCACACCCTACACCGTAGCCTGACGTGCACCTCTCCAAAAATCTAACAGCGCGTCAATTCTACGCGGACCGCAAGCACTGTGATTGGTCTGATAGAACCCCTCCCTCCGTATGTACTTGAGTTTTGTGTGTGTTTGTGCACTTTAAGGGCATGAGGTTCCGATGTGTGTTCAGTGACATCACAGGTCTACTCTTTAATCTTAATGAAGAGTGTTGCAGATGAGTGCATGGAGGATTAGAAACCACATGATTTGCTGCCTCAAACTAATCATGACCAAAGACCATGAGCTTGACCCTTCCCCCGACCTCTGTGATGTAAAAGTTAAATTAAAGAAACACCAAGATTTATCATCTGTCATGTAGTGTCCTTGCAGATAAAGATTAAATTTAGTTTCTTGTAATTTTCTGAAAATTAACAGATTATTCTGTCAGTTCTGCTTCACTATTCCTTTCAGTGATCAAAGTCACTTACTGTTGAGACTTGACTAATACAGTATGTCAGTAAATCATATTTGTGACTTTTGAAGAGGATATTTAGGGCAGAATTTGACTTTATTTATCAGGAATTGATTGGGCTGTCAAATTGTCTTTATATGACTTATGGGAGTGGTTGTAAAATATGAAGAGACTTGGGATGAGAGTTGGGACAATTCTAAGGGCTCTGGTCAGATGTTTTTTTGATTGATTTATTTATTTTTATTTTGGAATATTTATGCTTTGCCATCACAGGAATAAATCGAATTTTAACATATAATTACATAGAAAACAATTATTTTAAATTGCATAAAATTTGAAGTTATTTCTGTTTTATTGTATTTTTGATCAAATAAATCCAGCTGGTAGTGACTGATAGTGTAGTGTAAAGTAACATTAGTTAATGTGGTATGAACAAACTTGAGTCATAATGAGTCAATGTTTAAGAAGTGCATGTGAGGTTATGTAGTATTTTTCTCTTGAGAATCATGAGAATCTTATAAATCTTCTTGCTACCTTGAAGAAGTTGAGATATTAGGCTAGAAGAGAACTCATCTCTCAATTTCTTTGCTCTCATTCCTTAATATGTGCCTCTCTCTCTCAGGACATGTTTGAAAAACCATCCCTACCTGAGTACAAAGTGGCAGCAGTCCAGAAGTCTCGATTCATCCTGCTGCATTACAGTGTGTCCAAAGCATTGTGGGATTGGATGATTCTACTGGCTACATTCTATGTTGCTGTGACTGTGCCGTACAATGTGTGTTTCACAGCGTACAGCGATGTGGAGACTGCAGGCAGGAGCACGATAGTTAGCGATATTGCAGTTGAAATGCTTTTTATTCTGGGTGAGTCTACTCACTGAAAGAACCTACGAGTGACCTTGTACCATCAGATGGTTTACACATAAATACATAAAACATCAGTTACCACCTGTGATATATATAAGTGTATATATGCTTCAAAAGAGACTGAGGCTTTCCAAGAAAATGTCATTAATCTACCTTCTCTTTCAGACATCATCCTTAACTTTCGCACCACTTACGTGAGTCAATCAGGGCAGGTGGTGTACGAGCCTCGCTCCATCTGTCTACATTATGCTACCACGTGGTTCTTCGTGGATCTGGTGGCCGCACTGCCCTTTGACCTGCTCTATGCATTTAACATTACTGTCGTGAGTCCACATGTGTGAATGTAGAAACCATTTTTCCAATAGGCTTATTTAAAAATAGTAGAATTGGGAGGGTATGGTGGTTCAAAAGAAATCTCCAGAGGTCATTTACAAAAAAAGTTCTGTGATGGTACCATTATCTACATACAGTATATGTGCCATGGTACAGAATGATTACCATGTTTGTTTACCATGGTATTTTTAGTTTAGTTTTAGTTTTTTTGGAGAATTAAAGTCAATTATGTGATTACAAGGTATTATTATTTACATAGGCTATTGACACACATATGTTTGTGCTTGTTCAAGACATCTCTAGTGCACCTGCTGAAAACTGTGCGATTGTTGCGTCTGTTAAGACTGCTGCAGAAGTTGGACAGATACTCGCAGTACAGCGCCATGGTACTAACACTGCTCATGTCGATGTTTGCTCTGCTGGCTCACTGGATGGCCTGCATCTGGTACATCATTGGGCGCAAAGAGATGGAGACCAATGCCAGTGGAGCCTGGGACATTGGTGAGATATTCACACACTCTGATAAGTCAAATAAATCATTAAAAGATCTGCTTGGTGTTCTTATCAAGTTATATGGGATGTTCCCTTGAAAAGTCTCACAGAACCAGATTTTGACTATCGGCATAAAGCCACATTAATTATTATTCTGGCCAAGAATGCCCACTTAGGAGTAGGATAGGAAGAGACCATCTGACCAATGGGTAAAGTGAGCAGGTTTTGTTTCTTCATGCTGTTTAGGGGCAGTTTTCACTAGCTTCACAAACCACAAAAATAGACAAGTGAAAAATAATAACTCCTCAAACAGCTGTACAGAAAGCATAATCGTGATCGCAATGTTTATCTGTCTAGAAGCTTCCATTTGTTTAACAGACATAACTCAAAGTTAAATACAGTTCTGTAATGTAAACATTGACCATGTAACGTATGCTGCAGGGAATTCCAAACAGTTGAGAGCTGTCATTCTTGCTCTGTAAAGAAATCTTTTCAAAAGATAACATTGTATTTTGCACTAGTCTCCAATTGTGAGCATAATTTGCGCTTTATGAATGTGTGTGGAGCCAAAAATAACCCAAAATGGAGAACCTTATATTAATAACCTTTTCCTTCAAATATGAACTAGATTCTAATTTTATTATGGTATTGCTGTACAAATGTAGCAAATTTCTGTCTTATTCAGTTTTCTATGACCTGTAGGTATTTAGAGTTTTGGTTGTGGTTGTCTGAGTAAGAAAAGAGTTATTTTGTGCCAAAACAAAGGAAAATTATCCACAGGTTTGCCCACATAGACAAGTTTTTCAAAAAAGTATTGAGAAATGGGTCTTAGAGAGACCAACTCAACTTGGTGACTATGTGTGTGCATTTCACAGCTAAGAGCGTGTAAGCTATTCATCGGTTTTTGGCATTAAGCTGGGGAAGAGTGCCTTGGAGCTGATGGTGGTTGTGTCTGCCATCACGCCGTTGGGGGCTTTTGCACGAGACAAGATGTCTTCAGTGCTGGCTGAAACACTGTGTGCCACAACACAACCCCATACATTCTCCATCTCTGCATTTGCTCTTAGTTGTTGTTGCTTATAACATGCATTTGGAAATGCAACATGTGTCAGGTTAACTTTTTTCCCATTTGCATAATTTCAAACAATTTTGTAAATAGAGCTTTTGCACCACATTTGTAATAAGAAGCATGTATATACTTGTTGTCAATTAATGTGTAGTTTTCCACCAAAATAGAAGCTTGGTGGATTAATGCTGAAAGCAAAGAAATAAATAGTAATACATATTTGTATATACAAATGTTAGTATTGTAATTTTACTATTGTACTGTGCAAAAAAATTATAATTATTGTTCGATTTTATTATCATCATAATTGACATTATTTTGTGAACACAAATAAAGATACTATAAATTTCTTTTTTACTTTTTGATCATTGAAAGAAAATTGTTCTTTTAAAGAGTAAACACTTGAATACCCTGAAGAGTGAATATACCCTTAAAAGTAACTATTTCTATTGTAAGCAGAATGTGTGTCTATGCAACATTATGAGATGTTCAAATCACAATCACAATATATGAAAAAAAATATTATCATATGGGTTTTTGGCCAAATCGTGCAGCACTAACATGCAGTTTGACATTAGTTTATTTCTTTCTTTCTTTCAGGCTGGCTACATGAGTTGGGTAGGCGTTTGGACAAGCCCTATTTGAACAGTACAGTAGGTGGTCCTTCGGTTCGCAGTGCCTACATTGCCTCTCTGTACTTCACCTTAAGCAGTTTGACCAGTGTGGGCTTCGGCAACGTTTGTGCCAACACTGATGCTGAGAAGATTTTCTCTGTTTGTACTATGCTCATTGGGGGTAAGCAATATCTTCCACAGTATTCTAGACAATTTATTTAATTGAAGTAGCTTTCTGGAATACCTCATTCTCATTTTGTTTCGTGCATTCATTAATTCTCAGCATTTGTCACAGTTTTATAGTATTTAATAAGTGCTTACACATGATTTCTATAAATATGTCCTAAATAATATGTCCTATAACTCTACAGACAAAACCTCAAAACACACACACAAAATGCAAAATGTCACACATCGCTTGCAACACTTCATTAAACTCTATATTACAGTTTTCCCCAATTGCTAACATGTGTTTGCTGAATTTTTGGCCCATTTTTTTCTTCACCAAAATGATGCAATCACATGTCATGTGAAAATATCTGTCTACCAACCAACAACACACTGATGTGCTCAACAAAGAACCCTACAATAAATATCCCATCAGTCGGTTTATGCTGTTTTCATTGTCAGTGTTACACTGTAGCCAGTTGTAAAAAACGGCTATGCTATGTAATGTAGAGGGTCAGGTGGGGGGAAATGCCACCCTTACGAACAGTGTGCATTTAGTTTTAAATTGTAAAACAATTTACAATCACTAGGACACATGTCTCAATACTTTTCAGAACTTTTCACACAGTGAGCACAATAGCAGCCTGTATGGGCTAAACTGTGTATCATTTATAATTGTTTTGGCACAAAATGCATTCAATGACTGCTTCTTTCTAATTACATTAATTTTTTTCTCTCTCAGACACAAACAATGCCAAAACTCGATATACCTACAAGCCAGCTTGCACATTTACTTACTCTTTACAAAACTGTTCAAACTTAAGTTCATAACCTGAAGTGCATAAACTTGAGAAATGTGTCCTAGCAATTGTAAAAACTCTAATGCTTCCATAAATTTCTCATTGACAAAAAGACAAAACGTGTTTTTGATATTTAACATAATGCAGAGTCATAGATTACTATTTTACAGAGACACAAAATATATCAATTAACTTTTTGTTTTTATTGACCAAATCTCACATATTTAGATGAAATGACAAAATTAAGAAGAGCATAGGCATTCATTAAATGTGCTGAGATATTTTTTTTTTTGCCATCTCGATCAAGAGCAAAATTACCTCATATTACCTATACCAACTCAAATATACTGCAAATAAATAAACACACACACACATGCAATACAGTACAACAAACATTTGTAAATTTGTCATTTACAAATGTATTCCTAAAAATTAATGCTTAATGCTTTTTCCCAATTGTTTACACCATTTTGCTGACGTTTTGGCCCATTGTTTTTACAGAAAAACATAACTATTTTATAAGGTGGTGATTTCATATGAATTTGTATGATTTCTATAAATATTTATAAAATTTTATATTTTTTAAAATGTACATATATTAACATTGTCTTCTATGATGTGCAACACAAACATCTCAGTTAATGTCTCAGAAAAAGTAAGTTAGAGTTTCCCCACAACCTGAACACATTTAACAACAAATAATTCTCACCATATGAACAAATCACTCGCCCATGAGTCAGAACCTTAGAATTTTCAATAACAGCCACGAACAGGTTCACAGACTTTTTTCATAGTTCTGTACATGTTTAACACTTCACATTTAATATTAGACTGTTTATTGCCTTTATTGCTATTTTGTTAGATTGTGAATCAGATTGGTTGTTTCTCTTACACAGCTCTCATGCACGCTGTGGTGTTTGGGAATGTAACTGCCATCATCCAGCGCATGTACTCACGTCGCTCACTATATCACACGCGTATGAAAGATCTGAAGGACTTCATTCGTGTTCACCGGCTGCCACAGCAGCTGATAATGGCATTGATGTCAATGAGGTGAGAAAGTGCTTGGCATTAACAAGTGTTTTTCTTTTCTTATTCATTTACATTTTATGTAAAAATAATTTCAGTCTGTGCAGGGATATCGGTAACACTTATTAATAATAAGTATACACTAATATACTTACAAATAATTTAAAAACTATTGGTTTGTAGTTAATTCATAGTTTATAAACTGTAGTTAATACATTAATAGACTCATACAAATAGTGAGTTCTTCATTGTCACTGTAATTAACACAATTATTATTGTTTAATTAGCTCATATGTAAAGAGTTAGATAATGCTTATTAACCATAAATAGTTCTCACAACATATGAATGCAATTAATGTTCAATAAAGGTTGGTTTAAAGCACTTAATTGATAACATTTCCCCATTTTCCTTGACCTAATCTAAAGTGAGAACTATTCAAACCTTATTACTAATTAACAATTCCAAATTACCTAAAGAAAAATGTCATGTTATCTATTAGATTTTACATTTTGGATAATATAATCTAAGTAACTTTCTTATTACTTTTAGATTAGTTTTGACCTAACTCACTAATAATATAATTGTTTACAGAGCTGGATAAATTACTTACAAATTGTAGTCCGTTGATGATTACAGATTACATAATCTAGGTTACTTATTTTAGATAATGTATTCTGACTACGTTTTAGATTACTTTTTTAATCAAACTTGTTTTATACTTAACATTAAACGTGCCATATTGATATAAAAAAGCAAAGGGAAAGAAAATATATTCCTTGAAATATTTTTTTCTTTCGTTTCTGTCTGTCTTTGTGAATATAATCAAAGCTGAGTGGTATGACACGCAGTAGCATTTTTAGAAAGGAAAGTTTAAAAGAGGAAAAAGATGAATTAGGGAGAACCAGTAAATTATGAATAATAATAATAATAATCCATAAAGAAAGTAAACTGATTATGAGCATTTTATAATGTAATATACTCTAATTACAAATACTTCATTTTTGGAATCTGATTGCATAGTCCAAATTACATGTAATCAGTTACTACCCAGCACTGATCGTTTAGTACCATATTGATAAAAATACAAAGAGAAATAAAAAATATTCCATTCTTTGTCAATAACATGAAGTGTATTAACATTACATTACATCCCAAACTGGGGTATGCAAGAGCACTGCAGGGGGTTTGAGAGTTGATGAAAAGTTAATAATTAATAAAAAATCTTAAAAATGTCAAATTAAACAAATCTAATAAAACCAAAAATAACATTTACTAAAAAGACAAAATATTTTTATTTGTTTACCTGCATGTCCTGTGTGACCATTAATCAACAACTGAGATCTATAAGCGTGCAAATATGTGGTTAAATTGAAATATTAAGTAAAATCTCAGGGGGTGCCTCAAATAAAAATGTTATTTTTTTTAATGGTCTAATTAATTAAGTGGTGCTTTTGTCCCCAAACTCAGAAGCCCAGTGATGTGGTTGAAAGTGTGGGCCCTGTCAGGGTAAATGACGAAAGGTTCAATCGCAAATGCAGATAATACAGTTTATTAGGCAGACAGGAGTACACACACAGAGAAGTCAGGTGGAAGGAATCCTGGATGCAAAGAATGGTCAGTTCCTCGGTAGCGCAGAGCTGCAAGGGGTAAAAGGTAATCCATCTCCGAAAATGAGAGAGCTGAAGTCCGACTAGTCCACAGCAAACAGGTTCAGTGACAACTGCAAGGAACGGATGAACAACAGGACATCCAGAATACTGCATGAGACAGAAACACACACATGAGTAACCAAACGATCTGACAAAGACAAGGCAAACACAGAGAGCTTAAGTAGGAGCGCTGACAAGCCACAGCTGAAGCTGATAACTCATCAGCGGCAGTACACAAAATGACCAGAAGAGGCCAGGGAATACTGTGAACCGTGACAGGCCCTCCATCAGTCACAGACTCAAATATGTTTGCATTATGAGAGTGTTTTTAGAATTATGAGCAGACAATTAAAGATGCTTAAAGCTGGTCCATGTATTTGTCAGACCAGTTTTATTTCTGAGTCACATAAACTAACATATGGTAAACAGCATACAATTCCATCACATCACACTACTGGCACACAACGGTACCACTATTTGAAGATGTAAATATCCTTAAAGCTGTGAGCATGACAGATACCCATGTTTGGTGAAGCTCAGTCCACTGTCAGGCAGATGTTGCAGGCAGAACCCAGGTCAGGACTGTAGCAGGACAAGAGAGGTTAGATTCCTCGAGATTTCTTTTAATTAGATTATGCCAGCACACAGAATAGCCAACTATAACAGCATGGTGTGCTGATATGGCAGCTACACAGTTTAGGCATTGATGGGGTGAAGAGAGCATCCATCCACTGTTGAAATGTAAACAATGTATTTCACATCATAGAGCCATCTAGATAAACCACCTCTTTACCAACTAAGATAACCCATGTGATCCTGGGATGCTCCGCTAAGTGACAAAACGTAGGCTCCACAGCTCTGGCTGAGGATGTCAAGGTTCCTCTTCAGCAGTTATTCTCCCAGGCTGAGTATCTTTAGATTCACAGACACAAACCAGTTCTCAGGATGAGCATGCGATAGGATTTGTTTATGGGAGACCATCTTGAACGGGCACTGTGGAGAGTGCAGATTCAATTGTCTTGAGTCCAGAATGGGTTTCACTATCTAGCCAGACCTGTGAGAAACTGCAATACATTCGTGTGACAGGATAACGGGCACAGAAGTTCGTTCATGAGATAAGGTTGAGTGACGCTCACCAGTGAAGAAGAAGAGTCCTTTATTAAAAGGAGTCTGTTCATGTCACACCAAGTGTTTTTGTTCACCGGTTTTGGCCTCCTCTGCAGAGTTAGAATGCCAGGTGAAGGGATTTTGGCAGAGAGCTAACTCAACATGGAGCAGGAAGCCCACAGGGTCGTGACGCTGCCTCCTACTTTGGCGGGGAAATTTTCATTGACTGTCATTGAGATGAGCCGAAATACCTGGAAAATACTTCCACAGTGACACTATGCAATCCTCTCATGCTATTTACACAGCATTGCAGATAGGGTCAGGCCAAGATGTTGATCTAGAAACAAGTACTAATAAACAGCCAATACATTAGTAATATGCATGCTAATAAGACACTAGTTAATAGTGAGAAAAAAGTGTTGTCCGTTTTTTAATTGTCTAATTGCCTGGACCTTCAAATATTTCAAATCATATTTTAACGTCTAATATACTTTCAAAAGCCAAAAACAAATTTTATTGTTCATTTAAACAAATAGTAAACAAGGTTTTGTTGTTTTTTTCTGCAGCTTTTACATGATTTTCCTGATGAGTTGCGTGCCGATATAGCCATGCACTTAAACAAAGACATCCTGCAACTGCCTGTGTTTGATGGTGCTAGTAGGGGTTGTCTGCGCTCTCTATCCCTCCATATCAAAACCACTTTCTGTACACCGGGGGAATATCTCATCAGACAGGGGGACGCGTTGCAGGCCAACTACTTTGTCTGTTCTGGGTCACTGGAGGTTCTAAAGGACAACATGGTCCTGGCTATTCTGGGTTTGTAACATTTCTTTGTTGCTTTTCTAGCTTTTGACTTGTTTTTTGGACATTATATATTGATTTTCTGAACGCTACATGTTGGTGCACTATATGTTGATGGAATGTTTCAGGTGTATAGCTGTTAATTACCACAGCAACTACTTTTGACTTTTCTCTAGTTAAAATAAAATTACGTTTTCAATAACACACTTAGGAGCAATTGTGCCAGACACGTTAAAAGCACAAACATGAAGTTCATATGAATTATTTTTTATTTCTAAAAATGTGTGTTGTCACAGCCATATCACCCTGCAGTCCAAGACTGGTTGCCCACTGAAGCTAAGCAGGGTTGAGCCTGGTCAGTACCTGGATGGGAGACCTCCTGGGAAAACTAGGTTGCTGTTGGAAGAGGTGTTAGTGAGGCCAGCAGGGGTCACCCTGCTCACCCTGTGGTCTGTGTGGGTCCTAATGCCCCAGTATAGTGACGGGGACACTATACTGTCAAAAAGCACCGTCTTTCGGATGAGACGTTAAACCGAGGTCCTGACTCTCTGTGGTCATTAAAAATCCCATGGCACTTCTCGTAAAGAGTAAGGATGTAACCCCGGTGTTCTGGCCAAATTGCCCTGGCCCTTGTCAATCATGGCCTCCTAATAATCCCCATCCACTTGATTGGCTCTATGACTCTCTCTCCTCTCCACCTGTAGCTAGTGTGTGGTGAGTGCACTGGTGCCGTTGTACTGTGGCTGCCGTTGCATCATCCAGGTGGATGCTGCACAATGGTGGTGGTTGAGGAGAGACGCCCCCCCCACGATTGTAAAGCGCTTTGGGTGTACAGCAATACACAATAAAAGCGCTATATAAATGCATTATTCATTCATTCAAACTGTACAGTTGTCTTAAATAACGTTCTATTTGTGGGATTACTGGTCTATGTGATCCCTAGTACAACTACAGTATTATACACTGGAAAACAGATTTAAATATTAGATTCATATGAAAATGGATTGTAATAGTTGAAAATTTATTTTATTCAGTGTTGATGTCATTACAGGAAAAGGAGATCTGATTGGCTCAGACCTGCCAGGCCAGAATCATGTGATCAAGACGAATGCAGATGTGAAGGCACTGACATATTGTGACCTGCAGTACATCAGTATGAAAGGTTTAAGTGATGTTCTTGAACTATATCCCGAGTATGCCAGCATCTTCACTATTGACATCCACCAAAACCTCACATACAATCTGAGAGAGGGCAGTGAGACTGAGGTAAGGCTACAATCAATCAATCTCAACATACATACTTACTTACATAATAAACTAAACAATTTATTATCACTATCAAAGCTGTCACATCAATATTAGCTTGCTCACTTCCCTATTCAATCCTCTATAGAAATAATGGTAAAGAAATTTGGCTTGCTGTGCTTGTATGAGGGGCTTGGGCCCAAGACTCGGCTAAGGCCCTGAGCTACCAGCACACTCTCCTCAAACTACAGATTAAAAATATTTAGATAAGTTAAATTAGAAAATGTAGGTGAAATATAGGAAAAGCTGTCTGCAACCTATCCACAAGCTCTATTCTTTAAAACAATGGTAACCAGAGAACTTAAACAGAGATACAAACATAACTGACCTGACTCTTTCATTGAACTGTGGGAGTTACTTTACTACAGCTGCCTTCTTGGGCGTTCCAATTTTTCACATTCATTGTAATGAAAGAGTGGTCTGTCTCTGCTATATACTGTACAGTCTCTGACCCATCCCCTGGTGTCATTTCTTTCTCCTTGCAGCAGAACTACCCAGACTCCAGTGCATCAACTGAGAATAAGCGTCCATCCATTGTAGAAAAGGCTGATGATCCAAACAAGTACTTCCACGTCCCACCTGTTTCCAATGCATGCCGAAACCTTCTTCTGCCCAATCTAGGCAGCCCAGTACGACGTACATCACTAGGGAATCTTTTAGGAGAGGAGTTACTGCAATTTAACACCCTACGACATTGTCGTTCACCTGTAAGGGGTTGGAGTCCAAACCCCTCTCCCAAACATCAGACCAAAGTACAGAAACAAACCCTCCCACCCACATCTACACCCAAACCCACGCATAGGACACAGACGGATTCTAGAGGTACAGGACGCAAACCCGCCAAACTGCTCATCCCCACTCTCAACTGCTTTGGACCACCAGATCTTAGTCCAAGGTAACAGATATTCTTAAGAAACTAAAGGAATATATTATTAATACATCATCTTAAAGACCACTTTAAATATCCATCTCTCTTTCCTGTGTTAAAGTATTTTCTATTGAAACGGATGCAACATTTTGACGTTTATGAAAAAACATCATTTGCTACTGTGAAGGGTGGTCTCAAGGCCATGACACACCAATTAAACATCAAAGAACTAGCGTCTATGAAAGCTAATGGTGTTGTTGACTTGCATTGTCTGCATCTGGACCAAAAAAGGTGCCCTTGTCTTGAACACACTGCAAAGAATGCACATTCCTCACCTGAGTGAGAGAAAATAACTGTTTATACTATCTGGTGACAGTGGTCTATATTTGTCATTCAAAACTGGTATTGTAGATATACAAACCGTAAGCAAAGCAGCACTTGCTTACTATTTTAAATATGAATCATGTTGATCAGTTGGTCTTCATTTTCTTCATTTCATATGGTCATGTCATTTGAGAATATTTATGTCAGCTAAAATTAGAATAGCCTTCACTGTGGGCCCTTTTGACTTTGCTCGCCGTTTGCTCGCTTTCGCTTTTCTTCTCATGCACTGGTTTGCTAAGCTGAACAGTCAATCAGAGGGTTTGAATTCAACATGCTCGATTGTCCAAAAAGCCTCTGACAGGATCCAACTAGTGCAGACACTGCCAAATATCTGAGCTGACAGATGCTCAGTGACTGTTTGACAGTTGACCACCAGCTTGGTGTGTCACAGCCTTTAGACCTACTTATTGTTAAGATCAGAGATGCCTACCCCTGTATAAAGTATGAGACCATATTAATTCATGTTGAGTACTTTAAAAGAGCATTAGAGTTTTTTTTTGTGTGTGATTAATATTTGTGAGTAACAGACAATGTATCTGACTTTATGGCTTTTTATAGAGTTGTAGATGGAATTGAGGACAACGGACATGTGTTTTGTTTTAATGTGGAGGACACCACTGCCAAAACTAGTACAGTGACATCACTGGATAGTAAGACACTGAACGGTAAATATATTTTATTCTTAGTATCTAAGTCACATACTGTAAACTGTATAGATCAGTTGGGTCATTGCATCTTTGTTTTAATGCAGGGTCTGATCAGGTGAATGCATCACTGCTTCAGGAGACAAAAGAAGTGAGAGAGACCATTGTCCAACTCAACAAGAAGGTACAGTGACAATCTCATTCCTAAAAACAAAGACATTAAATCCTTCTAAAATGTTCCTACTTACTGTACAAGCTCAGAAATGAAACAAAGGAATGTGAAAAAACAAAAGGAGACAAATTAAACTTGCAACTGATGGTTTATTTGTATTTTATGATTCTAATGTTTATATATACTTAAATGCAATATTTTAATACAACTCATTCCAGATGGGCAACCTGAAACAGGAAGTGTCAACGCTGACTAAGGATCTGCATCACATAATGCACCTCCTGCAAGCACAAATAGCCGTTCATCATTATACAGAACCTTTGTCCTCCTGTCCCCATGGAGTCCACATGATGTCCAGTTCTTCTGTCAGTGTGTCTCCGGCCTACATCTTGGGTTCCAGCATCCACATGCAGCACAAAGACCATGTTGTCCCTGAGGGTCTCCTGGGGTCCACATCTTGGAGTCACGGCAGACCTGGTGGTATGGCTGCAAACTCCCTGTAGCTTTTGTTTTTTCATTGATGAAACCATCTGTTTTTCTGTATACAAGTTGGTAGAGACTTCATCATCATTTGATTAAAATGTTTCTCTGGTATGTACAGGTGGATCTGGTTTCGCTCAGCACACTGAGAAACAGGGACACTTTCACCAGCATGAGCCCAATCAACACTCTCCTGTCACAGCAAATGAGCCCTGTTCCCATGATTGGAGTTCCATCTACACCTCAGTTCCCTCCACTATCAGCCACCATCACTTCTCTACTGGCTCCTCTCTCCTTGGCATCAGCCCAGGAACCCAGGGGCCAACACCTGGAGAGAGCCCCCGAGCAGAGGGCTTATCACTGGGCATTTGTGCTGGAGATGGAGCCCATGCCAGTATCAGCCAGTCACACCCTGTTTTGCATACATTGTTTCCTCAAAATTTGGACAGTTCGTCTTTTTCTTGCAAGGTCACACCAAGCTCTTATTCACACCTACACCTTTCCACAGAACCAGTGTTTCCCTACTCCACTCCAACTGTGGATGAAGAGCACAGGACTCCAGAGGTGGCCCTCACTCAGAATGTGGTACCTTCCACTTTCGTACAAGAGAATTCTCCACCCTCTCCAAACGAATCAGGCGTAGTTCACTCTTCTCTTGAGGAGTCACCTGAAGTAGAGCACACCAGTCGGGAGTGCCTACTGGGTAATCAAAGGCTGGGCCAAGATAGTGAAACATCAGAGAGCAGGTCTAGCGGGTCCAGTGTAGGACTTTGTAGCCAATCCGAGAGCTCAGAGATCACATGGTGCCTGGATCTGATGGACTGACAATGAGGAAAGACTATAATCAAGACATCTACAACAAATTTTCGTTTGAATTTTAACACCATTTTCCTTTCATTATGAATTTCATACGTTCATGAGTATGAAGATAAAAAGCTGCTCAGCAGTTAATCATCGGGACCATCACCAAACCCATTTTCCACCAGCAGTGTGTCTTTGTTGGTGGCAGAGCCAGTGCCTGATCTGGAACCTTTTCCTGTTCCACCACAATAAATGGCAGTAATGGCGTGGAAGAACTGGCACCACACCAAATTCTAAAACCTGCTAGTCTTAAACAAGAAATCACAAAATGTTAGAGGCCGGGGCCTGGATGTGCTTACCAAGTAAGTTTTTTTAAAACTAGAATATCTCTCTCACACACACACACACGTCGAGCCATTATCACTTATATATTTATATATATATATATATTTACTTTACCTTTCTGGCACATACACCATATTTGCTGTACACACAACAAACTGCATTCCTCTTTTTTTTTAGTTAAAGAGATAATTCACTCAAACATGAAAATTGTGTCATTTACTCACCTTCGTTTTTCTGAACTCATAAGTCTTTTGTTCATCTGCATAACAAAGTTGAAGATATTTGTAATATTCTCTCATAATTTTTGTCAATTCATTAAAAGTTAAAGCAGTAACAATTTTCAAGCTTCAAAAAAGTTCAGAAAGACACTAAACTTATGACCTGTCACACTTACGTCGAGAGCACGGACACGGAAATAATACAATATAGACTTTTACAGTTTTTCTCAGTCGCTTTGGTGCATTTCTCAGATCAGAAATGAAATTCTCAAAACTACTTGTTCAACCTCCACATCATCTAGTCAATTGTGCACATTATAAAAGCAGTTTCTCATTCTTTTGAACAAGTTGCAATTGCTCTGGTACATTCCTGCAAATGATTATGTACATTTGTCTGTGGTTTCCTACATTATTTGAACAAGTTGCAATTGCTCTGGTACATTCCTGCAAATGATTATGTACATTTGTCTGCGGTTTCCTACATTATCAGTTGCTAATGTCATGTTGCTCAAAATGTATTATATAGTTTTCTGTGCAACAGTCTTACCCCTCAAAACATCTAGTCATTAGTTCATCGTATAAGTCATTAAATGCAAAATGGTTGATCTAGTTGTCATAAACTGTCAAGCATATGTTCTACACATTTCTATTAGACTTTGTGTAAATTTGCCATGAATTGTGCAGGTGAATCTTGACTTTCACTAATGAAGAGAATGTAGATCAGCTAATGATAAACTAGTTCTCTGAAATAGCTCAAAGGTGCATCTCATGAACCTTCAATTCGAAAGCATAGACAGAGGGCAACACAAGAGTTACAAATTCTGACAATGGATATTTCCTCCCCTTTGGCCTGGTAAATCAACAGTAGCTCTGTGGCCGATGACATTTCAACCACACCTTCTGCTTTTGGTCAGGTTGAAGCCAGCCTCATCCACATATACAGGTAATACTAACAGAGTGCACTGTTATATTGACAACATGACTAAGCATTTTGACTATCTTGTTTGTGAACAATGACACAAGGACTTTTCATTCTGATGGCACTGATATATTCATAGACATAAATACTTGCTTTTGAGAGATGAACTAAAGATTTTGAGTAAGTTACAGGCTTTGCAGGTAATCCATTGTGTGGTGCTGTTTGTACAAATTGTTTTGAGAAATGCACATACTTCTTTGCAAATATTAAGGATGATTCGAGAAATGCACCAAAGCGACTGAGAAAAACTGTAAAAGGATCTGCAGACAATGAAGGTTAATACAAGACAAAAGGGCACACAAGCATTCACAACAATAATAACTGGCAAACAACCGGAGAGATCTTAAATAAGGCAGTAAATGAGGGACATACAGGTGCTGAGGATTAACTGATAATTGACTAATGAACTAATACACTAATGACAACAGGAACAGAACCAAATATGGGCAAATAGGAACCTAAACCAGGGGGGTGTTCCAGAAAGCAGGTTATGTGACATACCCGGGTATGTTTGAGGATAAGCGAGTGGATAACCTCAGCTTTCAGTTCCAAAAATGGAGGTAACTTTCAGGGTACGTAAGTAACCATACCAACTTGCTCTCTGAAGATAACCAGAGATTATCTTACTATAGGGAGATGAGAGGGTCCGTATTACTTACTATTGGAGAAAGCGTAACGACTAACTTGGATCACGTGTCCCTTAATAACCAATCACATTACAGCCTTGACGTCATTGAATTTCAGTTAGAGTTGTGCGACACTTAATCGCCATTTACGGATCCCATAGGAATAAATGAGAAGTGCCGTAAGCTGAATCCCACCTGTCACACACATTTTTTTCATGGTAAACTCTAAAAATAGTTCAATCCAAAAGTATTAGCATCCTCTAAAAAGCTGTTTATTCAGCGTAGTGAAGCCTCTCCTCTATTGACATCCATTAAAAAAAAACGGCCTCTGGTCTTCCTGCCGAATTCCAACACAGGCACACCTCATTCTGCTTAAAGGTGCACTAAGCGATTTTTGCCAAACGATGTTGATATTTGAAAGCACCAAAACAAACATGCCCACACCCCAACAGGACCTCGCCCCTATTTTGACATCTCCGCCCCACACGTACGTACACAACCATGGCAACAACGATCGCGGAAACAAGCGATGACTCAAGCATATTCAAACAAAAGCCAACACAGATAAGTCGTGTGAAACAATGCAAAATCAACATTACTCACCTATCAAAAAGAAACAACGCATCCTCGGCATCCGATTTGAGCCCTTCCCACTCCTTGAGTTCTCTCCATCGCTGGAAAGCTGCCTGATCGTAACCCTTCTTTTTAATATTTTGTTCCTCCGATATTTTCCTCTTTTTTTATCTTCCAGTTCTCTCTATCTATAGTCGATCTGCTAATATCCATCCTGTACATTCAAATTGAGCGCTCTCTTCCTGCTATCATTACAAGACACGCCCCAATACTGCTGATTGGCTGCAAGTGTGTTTTGGGACATGTTTTGGGACACTGCGATCAAAAGCGTTTTTCAAAAATTGCTTAGTGCACCTTTAATGAAGAACTGATTTGGTGATAACCTGAGGAAGAGTATAAAAACCACTACTGTGGTCATCAACAGTGCTAGTAGCACTTCAAAAGTAATTGGAATCTAATAATAACTATTGACCATGCCAAAAGAGTTGAAAGAGTTTTGAGTGAGGAAAAGAAGGGTTCAATTCTGGCTTTACGGGATACAGTGAGCTTCAAGTTGCGTCCATCCTTAAAATTTCAAAGACAGTGGTTCATAAGAACAAGGTCAATCTGCTGACATTGGGGACAACAAAGCTACAGACCGGCAGAGGGTGAAAACGACTCTCCACTGACCAGGATGATCGTCAATTCATTCAAATGTTACTCATGTAGGATGACATCAAGTGAAAGAAGGGAAACCGGCAGCTGGGGTGAAGTGCACGGCGAAACGGTTTGAAACAGGCTCCTAGGGCAGGGCTGAAGTCATGCATAGCTAGAAAAAAGCCCTTCATCAATGAGAAGCAAAGAAGAGCCCAGCTTTGCAAAAGACCATAAAGATTGAACCTTCTCTTACGAGTCCAATTTTCAGCTTTCCCTGTTGAAAAAATCAGCATATGCTGGTTAGGTATGTTTTGAAGCATGGCTGCTGGTTTGAGCTGGTTTAAGCTGGTCATGTGCTGGTCCTAAGCAACTAGCTCCTGCTCAGGACCAGCACATGACCAGCTTAAACCAGCCCATGACCAGCTAAGGACCAGCTTAAACCAGCTATAGAATAAAAGATGTTCATTATTCAAACACATACGTATAAATAGTAAAACCAGAGAAACTGATAATTTTGCAGTGGTCTCTTTAAATGTTCCACAGCTATAAAGCAAATATAGTAAACAGAAGCTCAAATGTGTGTCCAATTCAACAACCTTTTTGGTAACACTTCACAATAACGTTCCATTAGTTGACCTCCGTTATTGCATTAACTAACAATGAGCAAAACATGTTTTGCATGATGTATTAATCTTTGTTAAAGGGGTCATATGATGCGATTTCAAGTTTTCCTTTCTCTTTGGAGTGTTACAAGCTGATTGTGAATAGATAAGATCCCTGAAGTTGCAAAGACTAAAGTCTCAAAACCAAAGAGATATTCTTTATCAAAGTTAAGACTCTGCCACGCCCCCCTAAAACGGCTCGTTCTAACACGCCCCCACATGTCTACCTCACTATGTGGAAATATTTGCATAATACGGCCCAACTGTGCACGCAAAGAAAGAAGGCGTGGTTTCAGTAACCGCAGTTATAATAAAAATACAATTCGTTATAAGTCCATGTTAGCTCAAGTCCATTAAATAGCATTAACAGGTATAATCCTGCTCAGTTCTCACTGCAGGACACTACAAACAGTTTTTATCCACCTTATTTTGCAACATGGAAGTAAGATGTTTTCTTGGTAAAAGACTTCCAGTTCACTAGCTAGTTCATTTAACAGGTAAAATAACTGGAAGCGAATGACTCCGGAAGCCTTGCTCATTTATGTTGCAAATGTCCGCACACGCTCTTACGTTAAAAATAAAGTGGATAAAGAAATGGTTCTTGAAAAATTGTCTGCTGGAAGTTATTTCTGATAAATATTTTTCAATAAGAAGTTCTAATTTCAGTTATATGGACCATCATCTTGCATTGCAATGCTACAGTATATACTGTATATAAAAATGTCAGCTCATTATCCATTAGATCATCAACTGGCAAAAATGTAAACTAATTTTGAAACTGATTTATCTTTTCAGAAACTTGGTTCCTGGTATTCCATCTCATTCTCAAAAACGGTAAAACTATGCAAAGCTACATATTAATTACGTCATCAAATGGAGAGCATCTTCACTAAAAAGGAGAAAAAACTGGTGACTATTGTCGGTGTTCAGTACAGTAAACATGTTAATTGTCTATTGTGGACATAAGTTGTAGAATTCACAGAATTCTATTTCAAAAATCACTTTCACTGAACTTTTTAGTTTTCTGTATGTCTATATGTTCCTGACTTGCATAGTGGATTATTATTTTTCCTACAGAAAATGTACTCTGAAATGTTGAATGAATAGTTTAAACTACTCCGATATCTAGGACACAGCATGTATGTACAGTACTTTATCATTTCACTTTACCTATCAGAGCTTGACTGTTTACTCAAATGGGACATATCAAGGAAAAGCAGGCAAATGCACTTATGGAATAACAATTTTACTGTAGAGTTAGATTATATTGAAAAATTAATTGTATTATATCCAAAATGTACTACAGTTAACAGTTTTTGCAGTAGACTGTTCTGACATACCTCTATAAACTATGCCCATGATAGACTGCCCTCATTTTTAATATTTCTTATTTTGTTTTCAATTAGATGACCATGTAGTACTGGAAGAAATGTTACCATAAAATTAAAAGCCCAGAATGCAGCCATAAATGGATTATTCTGTTACTTTCAGAACAGATAAAATGACAGCCACTTTAATACATATATGCACAGTTGACAGAATACTGCATGAAAAATTAACAAAGCTTATTAAAACAGTAATGCATTTCAAATATACCGAGTATTGCTGTCATTGCTGAATCTGGGAATGTTGCATGTTGCATTAAAAGCTGCTGCCAGAAATCCAGTAGTACTCTATTGCACTAAGTAACTGAATTTAATAATTGGATTAATGAGACTCAGGGTTTATTTTCATTTGCACAATGT